TTGATTATTGAGGTCTATTATTAACTGTGATTTTTGCTGGTTTTCTACTTGCATGACTTCCAAAAGCTGTCTAGCTTCGTCAAGCTCAATTGTTGAATCTATATAAACAATTTGGTTATCTTCAACATTAATTGTTGAACTTTTGTTAACACTTGGATTATCCTCAGCAATTCGACTTTCTTGAGCAGAACCTACAAGACACTCATAAAATTGGTTAGTTGCAGCAATTTGAGTATAATGTGAAGAACAAAGAGAATGAGATTCTAAAGACAAGTTAGCAAGTTCAGGAATATAATCATAATAATACGCAAGTTGTCTAGCTACTTCAGGGCCACTTGCATTTCACCATTTCTGTAACCTGCCCATTCCGCAAGGTCTTAGCCCAAGGCTTTTATACTTTTCAACTAAATCTGCAAATAAACATTTCTTTTCTTGCGCTTTCTTTTGCTGTTGTTGATCAGACACTATATAAAGATTATTTAAGACACTATGTTAGTTACAAGATTAAATCTTCTTACTTAACAATTCGAAAGAAACTCTTAAATTTAATGTCTCATTTACTTTTTTTAAAACGGTTAAATGTGAGGGATCAAATGGGATTAATTAAATTTGGTGCTTTATATTAACTATTAGTATATCGTTTAATATCGAATGAATAAGGTGAAAGCCCACTGCAAATATGGGCACAAAAAAGCATTACACAGCTAATCAAATTCGTAATACGGTACAGAAATTATTCTAGAAGGCGATTTCCTAATTTGGTAAAATCCCTGACTGGAGTAAGAAGTTGGTATATGAAAGGTAGTGAAGAAATGTGCAAGCTTGCAGATTGATTAAGTGATGTGATAGCTGAGTTAAGGTGAAAAGGAATATATAAGAAATGTTTTAGTGCATATTTTATGTGTCAAATAATGTTGTCAAGTTTTTTGAGATTAGAGTGTAGATAGGTGGCTTTTGAAGAGAAACTGTGCTAAAAGTTGTAAACAGTAAATTTTTTATTTGAAATATGTTGTAAAGCAGCTATGATGATACTGGTATAGATTTTGTGCCAAGTTGTTTCAAGAGATTCCAGAATTTGTATTAAAAAGGGAGTATGGTTAGAGTGGAGATTAATATGGACTTAGTTAGAGAATTCTTCTCATTTAGTATTGTTTATGGCTTTGTAATTAAAAACTCTTCTATGAGTCCAAGTTTTATGTCTACGTTGGCCATGTAGTGTATAGGGAAAAGACTAGCGAGAGATCAAGATTTGTGGTCACTAAGTGAGTTGCTATGTAAGTCATCCATAATAAAAGAAGTTAGATAAGTTATAATAGTATAATAGGCCCAGATGAAGTCAATTTCACTGCTATATCTAGAGCTATACCAGGTAGAGAAAGATGAGACAGTGTGTAAAGTGAGATTATACATATTATTGTAGATAAGGAATTGGAAGAGTTTGTGTTTGATGGAAGAGGAGTGGATATTGTAAATAGAGGCATTAAAGTCTTCAAGTATAATAGGAAGCAGGTTAAGAGTGCTAGCATCTTGTAGCTATTTGGATAATAGTGTTTTGAGTTTGAAGTCTAATAAAGGCATTGTCACTGGGAAGATATATAGAGATAATATGGAATTTAAAGTCATGTTTAAAAAGCAGATTAATTATGATGGCATAACCAAGAATTAGAGAAGTAAGAGTTAAGGAATTGCATATTATAATAGCAGTTCTAGCTTTGGAGCTGTTAGTACAAGACCAAAAGTAGGTATATTAAGAGGTTTTAAAAGGTTTGGAGGTAAAAATATTGTTGTTAGCAAGTTTGGTTTCAGTAAGACAGATAATATCTAAGTTGTTGGATAGACAGTAGTATTTCCAAACTTGTTGTTTGAGGTTTTGGTTAAAGTCTCAATGTTGTATATGCATATTGATAGATTAAGAAGTAAGTGGAGAGTGCTAGAGCTAGAGATATATTGAGTATGCAATTTTAAAGGAATAAATGAATGAAGATAGATACTTTCTAAATAAGCTATAATTGTGTAGTCAGGTAGAGGGCAGAGTTCACCAGGAAGATATATATATGCTTCACTATAGTCATTTTTGATAGAGATTACAGCTTTGTATTGGAGGTTACTCCATAGGCCATTTGTTAGTAGATGTAAGAAGAAAGAGTTAAGTGTTTGGGGTGATAAAATAGGTGGATAGTTTTGTGATATAAGGAATTTATTAAAGCAAGTGAAAGGTTCATAGGAGGTAGAAGAGATTGTAAATAGAACCTTTCAAATATCTTCTACAATTGCACTCACTATATACCTGGCTCTTACAGTTCTACAAGAATTAGAGACACTTGTGTTAGATGTTAGAGTACTGTCATTATCTGATTTATCCAGGTAATATTACATGTTTTATATATATATAAAAATAGTAAAAGCAAATTTTTTTTTTAAATATTACAAGAAAACTGTTTTGGCGATCATATATACAAACATAACACAAAATACTATAATTAGCAAAGCTACCAACTGCAAATAGTAATAATTATTTATATTATATAAATATATACAGCATAGTATAACTATATGTAGTAAAAAGAATTGGGCAAAATTGAATAACTTAATAAATACCATAAATTAATTGATTATAAAAATAGAAGATGTATTATAATACAATATATAATAATATTAGTTTTAGTTTTATTAGATTTTGAGATTATTTTAATAAATATATATATATATATATTTTTTTTAAATATTAAGGTGACCACTTAGATCCCTGGCACGTAGCTTTATTCAGATAATTACAATATTACATCAATTTCACAAGGATACAACTAGCCACATGTGTACTTTTGGTACCTAATTTAAGTAGTCCACCTTGGTTCTATACTAGCCACCATACCTGCAACCTAACTAGGGGATTATCTATTTAAGCTTTCTGATTATTTAACTAACGAGAGTACAACTAGCCATACATGCAACTTTTGGTTATCTATTTAAGTAGTCTGCCCTAGGTT